TCGGCAGCTTCCTTGCCGTACATTCGCGTCCTGACCATTACTTCGATGTTGAGCGACTTAAGCTTCCGGGTTAGTGTATCGGCGAATTCCTCGTTAAAGCCGCGTTTCTCCCAGACGGGTGTCCGCGGTGGCGCAATCAGATTTGCACCTTGTGTGGCCACGACGTCGAAAAAATCGTCGGACCATTCCTAACACAGTTCCGACACTATCAGTTGATGATGGCCCGTTTCTATGTTGAAACGGCAGCTTGAGAGACTTTTGGGTGCAGACTTACCCAGTAAGGTGTTTGTTGGTCGCTTACGCCCATGACGATGGAGATGATGATGATGGTGATGGCGCGGCTGCCTGGCTGGAGTGCCGTGGCCCTTCGACTGATAGTTTGAGCGATGCTTTGTAGTTTATAGGTTGTGTGAGCAGCGGTTTTGGGCGATGTTAACCTGAAGAGACGGAGGCAAAGGTGTCTTCAGGGCGTCTGCTTTTTAGCGGCCGTAAGGGCCGGTGTTAGTGGCGTATGATGGTACGTGCGGCTGTGCGATGGTTCAGTTACGCGATTACAGTGCATGTTCAATAGGTACGTTTTGTACACGCACTGGTAGGTCTGTCCAGCCTCAGGTCAGGTATACGGGAGGGGGGATAGAAGAGCTTAGGTAAGCTACACTAAGCTCTTACCGAAAAGTGCGACCTCACCTGCCGTGAGCCTTGAGGCAAAGATCGCATGATACGGTAAGAATCTTGGTCCATTTATGCAATAAATATAAATAATATGATAAATATACCGGCTAGGTATCTGCTTAGGGAGCCTGGAATATGGTGGGTGGCAAGGCAAACCCAACTAGCATCCATTCTAAAACCCCGAAAATGAAGAATTCAGTTGCCGCCTATTCAACGTAGAAATACATTACGCATATCTCTGTCTATTTTATTTCTACCTCTTCTCTCCTGCACAACTATTGCATCGAGGATGCCATCCCAAGCCTCGCTGCACTCAGATATAAATATCGCTTGCCTACGCCCCTTCACCTACTCCTCCAACCTCCTCTAACTCACCGAACTGCTTTTGTCTCTTCAACCTTGGAGCATCGGGCAGCAACAGTCCCCAAGCTGGATGGTCAAGCACCTTGTTAATATTAGGGCGTGGTGCGTGGTTGTTGGGCGCCCACGGATGCCTCACCATATCCACAAAGAGGGCACCCACTATGAAGCACGTTGCGTTAGCCTACTTCAAGTACGACCAGGGCGGGGCTGTTTGCGCGTGTAGGACACTCACGATGTATGTAGCCCTCCGTTGGTGACCGGCGTGCATTGTGGTAACCCTTCACCATCCTATCGATAGCCTCCTGGTACATTTTGCAGAACTGTGGCCGCAGCCTTTCGTTTTCCAGGCCGTCGCGCCATGGATTTAGTGCAAACTTCCACGGGTGGTAGCCGTACGTCAAATGATACAAGATTATGCCCATGGCCCAAATATCAATCCCATGGTCATACTCTTCTAGCTCAAACTCGGGCGCAAGATAGCCCATCGTGCCTACGGTACCCGGTCGGGATTTCATCTTAGTGCCGTGCTGGAGATGCGCAGATGTCCCGACGTCGAGAAGGACTGCACGCGCCGGTGACCCTATGACACCAATGTTCGGAGGCTTCAAGTCACAGTGCATCCAGCCACCCTTGTGCATAACCTGGAGACCTATCAGTGCGTCCCGGAACACCTTGGCAGCCTTTATTTTCATGCCCTTGGATCCTCTGTCGGGCTTTTCATTAGCGACCGCTTTTATACCGGACGAAAGAGTGGCGGGAGATACTTGCCCCTTACTGTTGGGCCCACACATGTCGGCAAGCGTTTCTGGTGTCATCGGTTGCATGACGATAGTCACATTGTCGAAGGCTGTTTCGGACGAGAACTTCTTGCCATCCGTGTACAAAACTTCCACAGCCCGCAGGATCCGCCCACCATCATCAGAAACTTGCGCAAAGGCTGTTACTTCGTTGCATATCTGTACCTCCGCGTCCACATGGCTGGCGTTGCGAGACTTCCGCTCCATTATCTTCAGAGCGGCCACACCGCCCGACGTATTTGTCGCCAGAAAAACCCTCCCGTGGCCACCCGCACCTAGAGGCTTTCCCAGCGTCCACTTACCCATCGTCCTCGTGTTAGGTAGGGGGGTAGGCATATCAATATCGACTTCCAAAGGGCCTCCGGCGCCGACCACGTATCGAGCGCGATCATCTATAAAGCCTTTTGTAGCAGCGTAGTCTGTCCATTGAAAGGTATACTCGAGCTTATCAAGCCATATACTCATGCTATGCTGGTTCAACATATACCGCCTCCGTGCGACCGCGTCACCATTGACTACAACCCGTGCCGATTGAGAGCTCGAGCAGCCGGCGATGTAGAGGGATCTATTTTCGGGGACGAAATTAATCCGCGCATGAGGGTTTCGGAGGTTGATGCCATGCCATCTGGCGAAGATATTGGTGCAGAGGAGCAAGTCGGTCACTATACCCCCCAACGGACCTTTCCCGGCCGTCCATCCCCTGGCCGCATCATGAGGCCAAGATGAGAACGCTAATATATAATGGCCAGTCCAGATGGTACCGAGTTCTTCATGCTGCTTCTCTGTGTCCCTATCTAGCTCTGAGAGGCTGTCGCTAGTCTCGGCGTCGCTGGCGTAGGCTTTCTGGGACACATGCCTTCTCCTTTCGAGTTCAAGCCGCAGCACGTCGGGATCCAACGTCTGCGAAGCCTCAACAACCATGCGGCGGAAGGCGAGAGGACCTTCTTCTGAGATACTCTGGCGCCTGCTGATGAAGGTTTCGTAGAGGTTGCTAAATGCCAGCCTGGCCAGGGCATTGGCAGGCTTCAAGGTAGCAAAAGCGTCAGTCGACATTCTCGCGACATAAAACCGGACGGTATCGGCGAAGGAATATTCACGGCAAGTTCACGAGAGCGCACGGCGTATTAGTATAGGCAGCGCAGGCATATCACGTGCGGCCGCGTTCACTCAGCCAGCGGCCGACCCCTGCTATCCCTTGCATGTACAGCCGTACGCGCTACGGATGATAGTAGGAGTTATCGACTTGAACATGGTCAGAGTCTTGTTGGGTGTAACCACTTCGTTATAAAGGATACAACCTCAGGCAGACGAAAATCACGCAACTGTAGGGCGCACGGCAGCATGTTGCGTACTACTTTGTCGTTAACAACCTCTGACCATCAATATCCTGTGGCGCCAAGCTTTGGCCACTCGTACTTCCCACACGACAACCTAGTGCCGGCAGGAAGCAGCAGGGGTTAGGTGATTCTAGTAGGTGATACGGACAGTCGTGAAGCTACTAGAAATGGCAACATAACTTATCGCGTGTCTAAGTAGCTATTTACGATTATCAAGGTGACTCATCTCGCCGAATGCCCTTCGCTCATAGGTGATGGGTCGGGAGCAACCAAACAAAGCAGTGTTGCCCTCACCTGGGCATCAACGGGCCGATTGATGGCGAAGCGAATCGACTACCCTGCGTCCCAATATACACGACCTCCCGCCCCAGCCAAAGCTAATTTGCCCCCGTATCTAACGGCAATTTCCCCGATCCCTTCGAACCGCATCCGATAGTACGGGGGGATTTCACGACTATCCTTAGGCAAACCTGGCGTAACAGTGCCATTATCGTCCCCCTCAACCGCCTATGGTCAGCATTCTCTGCGAACCCCTTTTCACCCGTTCCCTCTTGCCTATGCATGACAGTAACAATAAGATGCTTGATGGGACAAATACACCGTCCGTCACTTCAACGTCAACAAACCACAAGAGTATAATTGCCGATTAGCTTCATCACTATAATCTCCAGGAAGGCAGGTGGAGATTTTATCGTCGCCTAGCACCTACGAAACAAAAAGCACTCTCAGCCTAGTGCGCCTCTATTTCGTGTTCTAAAAACTTATTATAAAATAACAATACTAGTATTCATAAAGCAAGCAAGATTAACTCCACCATAAGTGACCACAAATACACAAGGTGGGCGGACGAAGGGCCCCATATGAATGCTGAAACCGACACTGTCAAGATATTCACCGAGTATCCAAGATGAATCCCAAACGAAATCGAGCCAACACTAAAGCGCCCAGCAGCAGCCCCAGAAGCCCTTCCTTTAACCTACGCCATCAATGTCGTTTCTCGAGACTGTGTACGTCAAGAAGACGCTTGCGACTGTCGCCTTTGAGCCGAGACACATCCCAGAGACGAGTTTCACCACTCCCAACGATTCCTAGCCCGTACATCGTTCACGCCAACGTTTATCAGTGTCGCTCTTTTTCACTTGCGAAAAATCCCACGACAAACATCGGTGCGAAGCTCTACGCAAGTTCCAAAGCCTGGTAATTATGTACGCCTTGATGAGCGCCGCGATCAGCCTAACACTTGATTCTGCACCAGATTCAAACAATCACGCGGCCTAGTATCCCATACTCTACTCGATTTCGGCATGGCTCAACTTTTGGGCCCCGGTTCGAACACTGGCCGATGCTGCTTAGGTCAGCATTCAATATGGGACTGAATGATTGAGTCGTAGTTATCCTTGCCTTCATCGTCAGGGCTGGGCATCCTGCAAGGACATCTGGTAGGTTGAGCTTGGCTTGCTGCCGAACTTTGGTCTATCTTAGTAAGCTTGCGGAAGGCTCCCTCCTCCCTAACTAATACAGAGTATATAATTTGCAATTCGCCTAGGCACGCAACAATAGGGTTTTGGACAGACAAGTACCCCACAACTTGAACAAGAGTCAGGGAAAACGATATAAACATTTTCGGTTCTATCTTCAGCCAACAAGCAGGCTACGCAGGGCTACAGTAGCTATATGGGTACAAAGGCGAGGGCGAGATATTCGCGTATATACAACCTAGGAACCCACGCCTAGACTAAAAAAGGGTCAAAACTTTCAAGACTCCATTGTCTTTCTTTATGCAGCATTGACGACAATTTAACGAGCAGACGAGAAAAAAAAAAGGAGGCAGAACGTACAACATCGGGGATTCGCTGGTCGTCACCGACCCAACTACTAGCCCGACGCTCATCGGCTTATCTATGGGAGAGCGGACGGGATCCCGAGTTTTCCGATGGCTATGGTCGTACGTGGCAGGTTGGTGCATTATCCCGCGTTATAGCTAGGTGGGGATTGTCTCGGTGTGGATGCGGGATGGGTGTGTTGCTCTTCTAGGTGGGTGGTGGTGAGTGGGGGGACTGTCACTGTATTAACTTCAATTTCAAAGGAGCATGTACAGCAGTTCAGAGACGTAAAAAGAATAATGAAAAAGGTGGTCGGTTGTGTGTCCCGGGTTGTGTAGGTTAACTAGGAGGAAGATTCTTATCCTGCCTAATGGCACAACAATCCCCGCGGCGACCATTCTCTCGGTGTATGGCTGTCTATCACTATCACTGATGCTGCAGACTGTGGTTGCGGTAAATTTTTTTTAATTTTTTTTAATTTCTTTCACACATCCGACCGGTCTATCGGGATACTAACGATCACAGCTGCCGCACGGTTATTTACCTACGCCGTGGTGAGCCACGAGAGCCTGTGTGGGTGAGATCGATATCGGTTGGCAGCGACACAATGCTATTGCGACGGAGGAAACCGAAGCGGTAATAGGAGGCAACCCAACATTTGCAACACGTTTTTTGTCGCGCGGAGAGCTGACGCTACGCCAAATGTTGCTACCTACTAATACAGAACACCTCTTTGTTACGGAGGTGGTCTGGCGCCGTACTTCTCCCGTGCTGGAATTGCCTTTCGTCATTCAGACTTTGCCGAAGCGCTAGTCGCTGCACCGTACTATATTCTAGATCGGTCGGCAAAATGCTTGGCCTTGGCGGTGCACGCAAAGTTAGCGCCTTGGCTGCGGATCGGTGATGGCGGACCAGCCAATATATGCATCATCGGGCGGCAGTAGATAACGTCTCGGGATATAGGATCTGTGATATATATCTCGTTTAGCTTCTGTTCTGACACATACGACCATAGGATCTGGAAAACGCGGGGTCCCGTCCGCTCCCCCTTAGCTAAGCCAGATACCGCCAGATTAGTAGTTGGGTCGGTGACGACCAGCGAATCCCTGGTGTTGTATGTTTTGGTCCTTTTTCCCTTTCTTTCCCTTTTTACTGATTTATCATACATCCGGACGCAGTTACATAACGTCTATTGTCTCCGGGTTTAATATGATTCTTTTTACTGTCTCTCTCCCGTGTTTTTTTTTTTCATCGCACCGACGTGAGGGTATATCCCGCCCGGATGCATCACCGCTAGCCTGTAGCTGAGTAGCCACAGTGCCACATTGATGCTAACAAGGCCGAGTGTAATATTTTCCTGGTCGGCGTCGGGATCGATCCTGATATTTGCAGATGATGCTGGCGGGCTTCGTCGATTGTGAGATCAACGCTGCCACGGGCGTTAAAGAAGCCGTGACGGCCCGGGCATTCCAGAGGTGCTTCTGGTTAATTCGGAGTAGCTGCTCGCCCGTATTCTTAAGCATTCATTGCATGGTAATTAGGGTTTTGTTATCTTTGCTTATAGCATCCTTGACAATACCTTTTTTTTTCACGCTGTACTGGATGTTAACGCTACGTTTTGTTCTTTCTCTTATCGGATTATATATACATCTCGGCTCAGATATCTTTCATACTATATTGAAAGTCGTTAAACTGGTGCAGCTAAAAATAAGGTCTTTCCTTAAAACCGCCGGAACCGCTCCCTACCCTCTGCCGTCCGTACTCTAGGGCAGTCTTTCTCATAAGGTCATCGGTGTTTACTCATTAGATAGGTTCCCAAATTGCAGTTTGCCAGCCAATCCAGGCAACGCCATCATCGTCTCTTCATCGTTTACGATATATCGATATACCTCGACCCCGTACCGGGCTGCGTGGCCCGTGAACCCAAGACTCTAACTCCGCAGATATAAAATCCCAACACCTAACTAATAACCAGTTCCCAACACCGCGGGCTCGCCGCGGACACGAGCCTCTATTCGTGTTTTGAGGGCCTCGGTAGGATCCCGCAACCCGCCGTACTTCATCTGCACAAGGAACCAAGCAGCCAAAATGAACGTTCCAAATACACTTAAAACTTCATTGGTTGCATTAGCGATAAGTTTGGACTCTACCCACGGCGTGACTTACATAAACCTGCCGTGACTTGCCCCCCGTCCCACTTGCTCGGGGTGAATGACTCGATCTGGAGCGCCAACAGCGACGTGACGAAAGACAGAGGCGACTATATTGTTCAGGTTACCGAACGGATTCCAAATAACCGGTGTCATGCTTCGTTACTTACAAAGACCAACGCCAACACAGTGAAAATGGCGAGGTATCTGGCCTGCTCTGACGACCTAATCGCATTTTCGGTTCCCGCTTGTCCGTGTAGAAGAGTCATGAGATCATTGGCCTGGCAATAATTTCTCTGGTTACTTTTTATACGCAGACCTTGTCATTGAGCTGAATTGTATTAACCATACCTTCTTCTGCACGCGCTTCGCGCGTCTTTCGATGTTATCCGTATCGCCATACGACGCGTCTCTGATCTCGGACGGTTTGCAGGTGTCGTCACCCCATGAGCACTTTTCAGAGGCAGCTTCCACGTCCCATGCATTCTCCTGCCCCCGGGGAGGGATGTCGTGCATATCCTCCCAGATGCTAGATCGGTGGTCCAGGACCTGTTTGATGATTTCGAGTTCGTTTATGACGTCTTTGATGTCCATGAGGCATTCTGCAGCGTGTTTAGAGAGGTGCCTGAAGTTCTCGTCGGCTTTTCCAAGACAGGACTTGAATTCGTCGAAGCACTGGTCGACCTCCTTTGACTATTAAGCGCATGCACGTGTTAGTATCATCTCCACTCCGAACTGAATACGCATCGGTCTATAAAACGGCAAGACGTACAACTCGCAAGACCTCTTTTGAGAAAATTCTCAAGTATGTGTATGCTTGGCCCTGAATTCTGATGGAGGATTGATAATTCATCGATATCTTTATCATATCGTGGTATGTTCTTTTCGTGTCCACGAGACCTTTGAACCCCCTTTGAATGTCGTCCGAGAGCTGCGGGCCCTGTTGCAAGTCCTCGTTTTGCGAGTCCCTGTCTTCGGATGTGACATTTCGACGTTGCGGGAACAAAGTCACTAGTAATTCTTCGGGCGATAACTCCGTCAGTGCTCATCAACTACGCGAACAACCCGTTATGAGAGGGTACTCACTGTTCGTTTGAACCAGCCAGAGCTGTGAAACAACCAGTATCCTTATGGAGGGGTTGGTGGTTGGCTGTTTTCTGTTGTCATGAGATTGACCTTTCGCCTGAGATTGACCGCTTGGAGGGCGCTGACTCTCCAGCTTCTCGAGTTCGTCAGATGTGGTGGGTTGCCGCAACCGACCAAGAAATCTTCCCCCACGCCGTTCGGGTACCGTCGTGGGACGGGTATTCATTGAGATTTGGCCCGGCGCTGGGGTCTGTGAAGCATCCCCTTTGTGCTGTGGCATTTCTAGGTATTTAATGTGTCGACTCAAGACTTGATTTTCATTTAAATCGTCTAGCCGTTGTCCATCGAGATCTCTGTGATAGTAGTGATCGAGTGTTCGCGGGGGATGCACCCCGGTACGTAGGGCTTGTTCACCTGTATTCTTGGTGAATCTATCCAGCATGTCAATGTCGATCACCGGCAACTGAGGCGAGATAGTTAGTAAGTAGGAAGGTTAGTCCGTACTGTTTCTGAGAAATGGTTAACTCACCACGGTCACAACAAACTGAGGATCATATTCTGATTTCTTGCTTGGTGTATGGCCTTTTCCGGGAGCCGAGCTATCTACTGTTCGGCTACTGAAGCGGTGATTGCAGAAAGGAGGTGATCGTCTCGAGGACCCAAATATACTTTGAAGGCGATCAACTGCTGTTTCACCTGTCTCAAGGGCTGGTGCATTTGTGTACAGGCTCTGGCAATCACATCTTTAGTTTGTCATAGTTGTGACCTTTGGGGCGTGTTACCGGTACCTTCAACCAGGACCACTGATATTTCAAAGTTAGCAGCCACTCATACATGGGGTATTTATGGTTCAAAGAGGATATCGAAGTGTGTACCCACATTATTCTCTGGAAAATGACACCATATGGCCTCCTGGGACTCTGGTCGAACTGTCTCCTGTATGCGGCCGGATTTCCCTATTAGATCCTTAACCGGGTGTTTTTCAGCCTGATGCTTCCCGGCAGCTTCCTTCCCTTCCCGGCTGGGGATAATATTCCTAGGCCAGATCCAAGCTGTCGGGACGACTTGCTCCTCGCCTTCGGGGGACACTGTATTTTGATGAGTAGGGAGCCACATCTTTATCATCATTGCAATATCATATTTCCAACGTGCGAAGGCGAATTCTACTGCATCCGATGTACAAGGCTCCGTTGTGGGAAGTCGGGTGTCAGCCTTAGCGTTTAGGAGCACCTGAACAGCATCGCCATCGCCTGCTTCTATGGCATGATGCAAGGCCGTCCATCCGTTCTGGTCTGGTAGGTTCACGGAATTGGGTGCGAGCTCAATTAGATTTTCCAACCAATGAATGGGTCCTAGCCTACACACCACTTCCATGCAGAAGCGACCGAACTCGTGAAAGCGACCCCCCGCGTCGAGGTCCCGAATTTTATGGGGATCACATATCGTGGGATCCTGCTGCGATGCTTCAAGCATTAACAGCACCAGTTCCTTCAGATCGCGTGGTGATGGGTCTTTTTGCCATAATGGGTAGATGCCCCGGCATACGAGGTAGTGGATTGGAGTATTGCCGACATCGTCTCGCTGAGCTACGTGGATTGGAGTATTGGCGACGCCGTCTCGCCGGGTTTGGGTGGGTTTCTCCTTGTTGTCGTCGATTCGCCTCTTAGACTCATGTAGCAGCAAATTTGCAATCGGCAGCTGCGCCGCTCTGCAGGCAACTCCCAATGGAGTCTCTTTGGACGCGTTTATCGAGTTAAGGTTGATACCAGGCGTAGCCAGCAGAGTCTCAACAGCCTTAGTTTTTCCACGAAAGCATGCCACATGAAGAGGGCATTGGTCCCCGTAGTGTTCAACTGTTGTAGTGTCGACCGAAGATTGCATGTGACGA